TTTGATTAATTATAATTAATATAAAAAAAGGAAAGTTTTATTGGCTTGCGCAAATTCTACAAAGCGTGTCCTTGTTTTATTTTTTTGCTATAAAAATTAAATAAAAATAGCTTAGCACTTAAAAATAAAAAAATAATTATTTTCTCATTTTTTTTTATTTATGATTTTATTATTCAATTTAAAGTAACATGAAGTCGATACTCTTAATAAAAAAATGCAATAAAAATGAAAAAAATTGTATTTCTTTATAAATAAAACTATTTTTTCACTAGAATTTTCAAATATTAATGACAAACTTATGAATCTATAACTTTGTATAACTTTCGAGTCTAAATGATTCAAGCTAGATTTTTAAAGCGTTCTGATTGAAGTACAGAGAATACAACAGAATCTCTGTCTATACAAGATTAAGAAAGGAAAGTTTAAAGTTTTTTTTACAGTTTAGAACCTTATAGTGTTAATTGTTCAGAAATGCCAACAGACTAAAGTCTTTACTCAGATCTAAGTAACTCGTTGTTATAATCGAAAGTTAATTAGACTTGATTTATCAAATAATCTGAATAATTGACACAATTCCAGTAATACCAGTACTTCCTACAAAATATAATTGAATTTACAATTAGTAATTATAAATCTATAAAATCGCGTGATTGTGTAAGGTGATTATTTTTGCATAAAAAATTGTTGGAATTTAAAAAGGGTTTGAATTATTTTTTATTTGCCATTTCACATGTCGTGTTGTACACAGACTTCTAGATTCATCAAATCCTCGGCCATGGAGAGAAATTGTCGTGTGCAAGCTTATATGGCAATGCTTCACGCGACACGCACCGTACGATACTATCGCAAACGACTTTGCGGAACAAGTCCACGGGAGTTCGTCACACAAACCATTCCACGAAACTTACTCCGAATGGCCGTCGCAGTTCGCCCACACTTAGCAACTTTTCCACGGGGGCCCAGCATGTATCTAAATCACTTCTCGCTAACGATAATCTCAGCCTTAGAGAGCATAAGCTTAATCGTGCCGCGCTAATTTCCACTCGAAACTCTCCAGACTGCAATAGTCGTAACATTCGCATGAGAGCCCGCGTATGAGAACGTGCCAAGGAACCTTAGAACCTGACCATTTTGAGAGCTCATTCGCGATCCTCTGCCTCCCTCCCTCTCCTCTCTCACTTTTCTTTCTTCTGTGTGCTTCTAGTCGGCTTAAGAGTACGTAGCTTTTAATCGCCAACTTATGTAACGCGAACACGAACGCCATGTTAAGGTCATGTACTATCCGTTAAGTTCTAAAGCACCAGATCCGGCAGTTACATCCATCGGCCATTGCGACGAGCTAATTAGCTAGACGGTCTAATGCAGAGCCGACAAGGCGATTTCGACCGATATATTCTCCGGTTTAATTCTAACGACCGGCACCCCGCTAATCTCCCGAAATTAATCACTGCTGATGTAAGCCAGAAACGCCCGCGGACCATGCGCGACGTAATTTCCGTCGGCAGAACTCCATTCTCCTCGTTTGTATCCACTGCTGGGATTTTCAATAGATACGGCACCGGTACTCAGGAACATTTCGGAATTGCTCTTCATGCCGTTCTGTTATCTTATAAATAGCGTACTCATCATGGCCATGCGGATTTGCTTTGAGACTATGAAATGATATTATGTCTGCCTTTTCTTGAATACATGCAATAATAATTTGCAACAATTACTTCATTTTGTACTGTGTGTTGATATTAATCTTATAGTTACATTAAAACTAATTTCTCAGTTGCATTTATTTTATATGAAAATGTCAGAAATATATATATTTTTAATAAAATTATCTATAATTATAAAATATATTTTAAAAATTTATTTTAAAAATAATTTATATTATTCTTGAGACTTCCACGGGTGCTTTCTATAAAGATTATACTATATCAGGCTGCTTCTTGTCCTGATGAAGCGATTGCAAGGTTCACGAAACGTTGGCATTCCAAGAATAGATCTGAACACGGAGAAAACTCGCGAAATGCATAATTTTTAAATAATTTATATTTCTAAATTTGGAAGAAATGTCAACAAATTAATACTGTTCAATTACTCTAACAAGATAACGTTTTAATGATATCTTCTCGTTAAAGATGTTATTAAAGTGTCATTTGACGTCACTTTGCTATTTATTATTGGATATATTATATTTATCTCCTTGACGCACTCATAAAATGAACATAAAGATGACAATTTACAGAGACTTGTAACATTTTTCTATCCTCATAACTCTCAAGAAAACGTCTTTCTTCTCAAAATGGCATAGCTGGAAATATCGGGGAGGGGGGGAGGGGGGAGGGTAACAATGAAACCGTGTCCGCAAGAAACGATATATTCGTACGTGACTGCTGTGAAAAGAAGCGTGCTTTGCGTCAGATATATAATAATGCAATTACCAACGAGTTTGAGATTAAGCGGGAAAGAGTTACAGAAAAGAAGGAGCCGTTTGTTCGTTATGCGTATACGCGGACTGACGGGATGAGGCGGATGGAATTCGAGAAGTGGAATCCAGGATAATTCTCACTTAATCCTCGGACATAGTCCTTGTGATGAACCATTCGTTACGCTCCGCGACGGCGACGAGTATTTTTGTCGTAGCATCACCGGCCGCGCGTGGAATAATCCCATCTCCGATATTGCTTCCATCTTTAATGCACTCGAAGTCCATCCACTTCGAGACATATTATACATCGATCGGCAAGTATCAGTATCGAATTGCGATCATCGATCGTAGTTTGGGAAACTTGTCGAACTTGGTCGGCCCACTTTTGTCTGTTTTCCAAACTGAATTTTATGGCGACGGAGTCCTGCCATATTTATTGCGCTGTCAGTAGTATTGTTTTGATACTCGTAGTTTTGATTTCGCAGATTGGAAAGTGATTTGGAAAGTAATGAGAAAAGAATAAAATAATAATTTTTAAACTTTTCTAACAACAAGTTGGAAATTCACTTTATTTTAATAATTTAGCGGACTTCAGTACTTTAGTGCTTTGGTGCTGACATAATAAATTTTACTGAGTATAATTCGCAAGTCTTGCACGTAGAGGTAGAATGGTGAAAAGCATAGAACGGTACTACAGAATTGCATCTGTTGATTCACAGATATCACACACAAGGAAACGGCAGACAACTGGAAGAGGCACAGCGTCGTTTGGCCATTGAGGACTCATCTTTGGTCATAAAAGGTGTCTGGTGGATAAACCGTGAAAGTGCCAATATCTCTCGAATAAAAGCATCGTCGACCATATACGCGACGCTATACAGAAACGGATGGGCTGGTGCGCGTCGAACGGTAAAATCGAAGCAAAATTGACGCCACGAACGAGAATCCTGCTGGAAGAATATGAGGCCGTCATTTGAGCGCCTGTTCGATCGAGGAGAATTAATTTTCCTTCCGGTCATTGGGTCATGGCGAAATGACCGTACTGCAAGATTAATCGTGTCTTCATGAGAGCTCGGATCTCACGTTAGTCGCTCGATTAGCGAACAACAAGCAGTGTTCCCCTCCTCGATCCATGAACGAGAGCGAGAGATTCGCCAATTCAAGAAGGCAAGCTGCATCGGGTGAGATTCTCTTTGAATCAATCCAAAAGGCGAAGACAAAGACAAGCAGATAGTATTGACCAATCCGAAATCTCTATCATCAATCTTCTCAAAATCTCGTTTAAAATATTACTATTTATTCTCTCTTAACAAAAGCGGATAAGCAACACCTTCTAAACAATGCAACGTTGTGTAAACGCGTGAAAAATTGACGGTGGTTGGTCAAAACTCAAGACGATCGAGGCAACGAAGGATAAGTCGCAAGTATCATTCGGTAAATAGTAAGATCCGAGGAGATATAATACTTCTGCGGCAATCCTCTCTATTTGGCCGGCAATTCCCATTGCTCTTCGTCTCTCCTGGATTCTTATCCAAGCCCCATCGTCGTTTCGTGTCTTCCCACGTCGCAGGCATAAAAGTATAACGTAACGACTTGGGACACGTTACGTCCGCGGTTTACAAGGTGAGGGTGCATGTAGTGCTCTCGTGATAGCACGGGATCGTCCGGTAACATCATAAAACTCGTGGAAGAGTCCACATAAGAGCGTCAAGGACGACAACCACAACGTTTCGAATTATCGAATAGTTCGATAAATGTGGCGAATAACATCAATAATTTTCAAATAAAATAATTATATGGAGTACAAAAAAAAATCGCAATTTTTAAAATTAAAATAAAAGGATGAAGTATTAATAATAATCGAGCTGATTGAGAAATCAGATTAAATAAAGGGAGATAATGATAAATGATATTCCTTTGTGTAATTCTATGGTCTTTAATATTCGCAAAGTGAGCGTAACGCAAGAGTGACGCAGTGCAGTGAACCGTTAAAACCCCCTAGTCCGGCAAAATTCCGAAGAGACGTTGCCCGACGTGTTCAACACGAAGGAATTCAATCGTGAAATGGACCGCGCGATATTTGAATACTCGCGTAGATTGTAGCGTCCGTGAGTTCAGTAAATCCCGTATCCGAAGTAGATATTGTGATCGCACGAGGACAGGGTCCATTTCCGCGGACATCATCGATACTCCGATACTTCGTTCGATGCCTGTTCGTGCGCTGCTCGAAACTTGGACGGGCTGCAAGCAGCTGGGGAGTTTTAGAATCTCTCTTTCTCAAGAGGATCGAGCGAGTTTACACGTGTAATTTGTTTAGAGAACGCTGAAACACGGTAAGAGAATACCAGAGATATGGATCACGTGCACGTGAAATCGAGATCGGCCTCGAAGAGCAACCCAACGAAGATGGCTTGTGAGAAGGCGTCGAGACGCCTTAGGACGATCCTCGTGAAGGCGTCTCGCATCGGCGTTTCTACGGCGGAAGTCGCCAGGTTACCGGCGGCCAAGAAACTTATCCCGCAAAGAGATCACGGTTGGAAATTGGCAGTGTTTCTCCTACTTATGTTTGGAGGTGGAGTCATCGTCGCCTTGGTGTGCACCGCCAGGAAAGGATGCTCAAAACTGGAGGATATCGTAAGTTGATTTTTCTCGATATATCTTTATTTTTTTATGAATATTATGAAGATATATTTAAATTTAAAAATAACTCGTCTGAACATAGCGGATAAAATAAAATAATGTATTTAAAATTTAATCCAATTTAAGAGTAACATTATTAAATATTTTTACACAATGCAATGTAGATATAATATTTCATATTATTGAAAATTGAGAGTCATAAATTTCGCATAAAGCATAATTTTAAATTAAAGAAAACATAATTTTAAATTATGAACAATTTAGAAGTTTAAAAACGAAACGGACACGCATTCCTATGAATTTACTCCGACGACCATGCATATGTGACTTTCTGAAGAATTTCATGAACATGAGAGGGCGGTGGATGTGAAGTATATGTCATATGTAACATGCGGTTGACTTGAGTAAAAGTCACACGTTATACACATTTTCCAATGAAAGGGACGAGGTTGAAGTTTCCCGTGTACTCCGAGAAACTATTTCCGTCAGAAAGAATTTGATGTCACGCTCTGGACAGGAATTCCTCTCTCTCTCTCTCTCTCTCTCTCTCTCTCTCTCTCTCTTTCCTCTCTCCCTCTTGTCAGATATTCTCTCGGAAAATATATTTCACCAAAATTCGCCTAAATTTTAGACCACCTGTAGAATAAATCTGTCATTGCTAGAAATATACTCTCGCTGGTTTTACTATTTTATTTTTTTTTAATCAAGAGAGAGAGAAAGAGAGAGAGAGAGAGAGAGAGAGAGAGAGAGAGAGAGAGAGAGACAGGAAGAGACAGTGGAGAGAACGTGTGATAATGGAAAATTTTTGTAATTCATGTACATATTTTATTTCATTTTCAAGTGTAAAAGTTTGATACTGAATCTCTACACTATTGTGCAATATATTCAATTTTTTTAACAATCATCATTGTTGTCACCATGAGTACAAAAAAAATATAAAAAATTGTTTTGCATAACGTTTTCACAATTTTAAAAAAATTATTCTACATACAATGTATAGTTTTAAAAGTAATTTCCATTTTAAAAAATTCTAAAAAAGTTATGTAAAGTTATTGAGAAAATAATGAGTAATATATCTATTTGTGCAAATTGAAATTTAATCGCAAGTGTAATAATCAGCGATGCATCTGCTTTGTGTGATGCACGTTTCTCGTATCCTTCTGTTGTCAGTCATTCAAAATCCGCAAGCTTCTCTGGATGCATCGTAACCGATTCCTCGCATACTTCCTTCAATTTCGCGAAACAAACCGTCATAGAGTTGAAGCGTGCGAAGTACACGTTATGCACGCGCGAGAATAATCAAATACTTAGCGGGCGCGCCCAACGAAAAGGGAGAGACAGCGAGAGAAGACGCCGCCATGTGTGTAGCGGCGGTGGCAAGACAGTAGGATCGTGTTAACGATGTTTCGCGCGCGCAAGGAGAGGATGATTGGATGTGCTGAAATTAGAGATCAAGGGGTTTCTAAACAATTACGCTGTCGGCAGGAGGTCAGACCTGGAGTAGCGTGACGTTAGAGGCTACGGCTTGCAGGAACTGAGGCTTGTGGCCTGCGGCTGGTTGCGGGCGAGGGCCGAGGCTATCAGGAAGTGCTCTCTCTCACCAGCGATGGCCAATGGGTGGGTTACGTCGACCGGTCAGTAGAGGAGAGAGTGCGCGCTTCTCTTCTCTGATATTCCCCCTGGGAAACAAGCGCGCTGCTCCATTGTACCCCCGAGCAAAGCAGCACGGACATGGACGCGCATAGAATTGGCGGGTAGTCCCCGCACACCCCCTGCTGCTATTACATCGAACGCAGCAACCGCAACGTGGAAAGTTCGCCTTTGAGTCACCCGCCAGGATTGACAGCAATTTTAACTGACGTGACCGAGCTGCGATTATCGCCCACCGGCTGATTGGCGGTCAGAAACATCCCTCAAGCGGGACCAGTGTTGCCTTATGGCCGTCAGCCGAAAGGATAGAAAAGGGAGAGAGAAAGAGAGAGACAGGGTTGTCCCTTGGGCGTTGCTTAGTGGATGTTAAATGAAATATTCCAGAGGGTCATTATGATGGGTCCGAAAATCACAAATTCTCTTTGATGCCATCATCAATTGCTTGCGAATTGCTAATTATGCAATGTTTACTAATGAGAATCGTTGGAATCTAAAAGGTATCGTTATATTAAGAGCAAAACGATCGTACATGATGCATCTAACGAAACATTTTCAAAGCAACGGCATGTTTACTTAACTGTTTATAAATAAACAAGTAAGATATCTTCAAATAAAAAAGATATTTGTTGACGAAAGTATATATTTTTACGGTATTATTTATACATAATGATTAGTTAATTATTGCAAAAAGAATAAATTCTAATTGAAATATATAAAAGCTTCTTCAATTATTCACAAATATTACTATATTCAGGAATTTTCAAAATAATAAAATTTCTTACATCTATGTTTTCAGAAATATTTTATTAAGAATTCAGTTTGACTTCAGAATTCAACTTTACGAAATGCTCATTTATTTCTTATATTGTTTCTCCGATTTGTTAAAATCACTTATTCACGTCGACAAGCAACGTGATAGCGTAGCCCTTCGATGTTGCTTTATTGGTCTAGTTCGATACACGTGGGTGGTTCTACCACGATAGATCAGAGTGGAGAACACGGATTCTCTTTGATGTCGTCCATGATTGGTAGTTGCTTGCATCGTTGCTTATGTAAAGCTTGTTAACACTATCTTACCTAACCAAAATACCGGAATTGGATACCATCGATTACACGAAAACAATTACGATAAAAGCCAAAAGGAATATTTTATGTAACCACTGTAGACAAATTGGGAGAGCGAAGGAAATGTGAAATCTATAGAATTAAAAAAGAAATATACACTCACAAAGAAAAGTTTCTTCGAATAAAAAAAAATTTATTTGAATCAAAGAAATTTGTGTATTACTATACAGTTAAAGAAAAGTTTCTTTGAGTAGAACGTCATTTCTTGAAATTAAATAAAATTTTCTAAAATCAAGTAAATTTTATTTTCCTCAAAGATATTTTTCATTTTAACTTAAAAAAAAAAATCAAGATGAAAGATTTCTTAAACATAACTTTTCTCTGAGTGTATATACATTTGTTTTTATATATATGACACGATATATATATATGATATATATATATATATGATGACACGATATATATATGACACGAATATTCCATTTTACGCTAAAAGTGTCTTATGATTAACATTCGTTTTAATCTATTATTTGGAATATCGCCTTTTTTTCAAGTTTTAAGAATCTCTCAACGTTAAATCGTAATCGCGGACGAAAGCGTCCGCATTCGTTAAAACAAAATCTGTTAGTGCGACGGCTTTATGCGTTGAAAAAAGCGTCCGGTGCAGAGTATGTCGTGTCACTGTTTATCCGAGGCAGCAAGCCGCGACGTGCAGAATCTACGGCAACACCGTCAAATCCCATCACGGACGAGACTACGAATTTCACTGTCGGCCTCCCGTCGTCGTCGCCGTTGTGTCGCTCCGATTATACACTCTATTTACCTCCGGGACACGTCAACCTGCGATTACCTCCTCGCGATGCGTTCCTGCCGTGGTCGCGGCGGTCCCTCAAAGCGCGTATCGAACATTCATGTGTCCGTCCAAACGCACCCGAGTCTGGTTGCACGCAATATGCGATCGAGAGGGAACATGAAGATGCGTCGAACGTGCGTGACGGCCACCTGTGCAACACGGGGGGGAACACGCTTGTATATACGTTATCGATGAGCACGTTCGCGAATCGACTGGGAATCTCGAATTCCATTTACATTCTTAATGCCAAAGCAACTAAAAAAAAAAAAATCATCCAACTGGAAACGTCGTTTCCGAATGAGGCCGAATCTGACAGAGCGATGAAACCGACAGAAATAATGTTTACTCAACGGGACGAGATTGACTACTGCCGCTGAATACCGAGCGTTTTTACGAGTAAAATTTGCAAATTCTGTTAGAGTAGCGCGAATAAACGATAGCAGCCATAGTAGGATTACGTCGATAGGATACGTCATGTTTATCCAATGGAATCAGCTTCGGATTGTCAGTCTCGAATATACAAAGTTTCTTTGCTACGAATTCACGAGTAAAAAAAGCATGCACTGGTAGAAACATGATGAATACAACACCTCTTTGATAAATTGATTTAAAAATTTCGTTTATCTTTAAATTTTGTCGCTAATGCAAATTAAAACTATTTGATAACATTCGTGTGATTATTCAATTCAAATATTGAACTTTTCTCTGACAGTAATACAAGTCAATCGTATTTTCTACGTATCTTTAACCTATGTTCAGAATAGAGGAAGGAATAGAAGAAAGGAAATAGTTAAATCGTGGAATAGATAAATCGTGGAATACGCGATGTCCTGTATAATTTGCACTACATCTGAGGACTATCAAAATTATTTCACATTCTGCAAACATAATATGATCACTGGTCATTCAACAGTGTTACCGCATTGTCGTAAAAACTATATTTTGCAAATAATTTTACAAGTGTGTACTCTTTATGTAATTTTGAGAAATATATTGGTATTAATTTTGTTACTCTAGCTTGGAGGCCTTAACTGTGATACTTTTAATGATACAATTAACTAAATATATAACCCTATTCGATAACTCTTAATAACTATAACGATACAGTCATTACAGTCATTAAAAGTTACTGAATAGGGTTATTAGTAATAAAATGTGTGCATGTATGTCGTGTAAGTTATAATTGGTAAAGTTATATATAGTTAGTTTAGTTGGTGGATTTTACACATCCTCCTCTTATTCCATCGTTGTCCCTTTCTCTTCTTTAATTTTTTGTAAATTACGTTCGTATTCTACATATGTATATTCAAAAAAAAATATTTACCTACATAGCATAATTAGTATTATTCTAAGGTCAATTTTCACAATATGATGTGATTTTCCAAAGATTAAAAGTTACCAAGAGTATAAATTGAGTCGCGAGAAA